TCATCCCCTCTGAAAACAATGGGCACCTGTCTAGAAGAGACAAAGGAGTAATCTGGAAACTGATTGACCACAGCAAATCAGATGCCATTTCCTACCTGATTCTTGTGAGAATTACTTCCCAGCATTTGTTTGCAGGTTGTCATTAATAAGACAAATGTAAGGATATTTCTGGAAATTTAAAAAGAAATGTGTTTTTGTTATGCTTTTCTTCAGCTCCAGCCCTGAGAACAAAAGTGAAGATGAATAACAAGGCGACTGCAGCTCCAGGGATGCTGAATTTCAGCTGCTGGGTGTTATTAAAGTCCTCTGAAGCGTTGCTACCAAAAAAAGGTCAAAAGAACTCATGTTATTTATTGTTTCTCAAAATTCATTGCTGCTTCAGGTTGTGCCTAAGTTAACTCATCCGTTTTATTTTGGAAGTCGTTGCAGAATGCCGTGCTAAATGAACACAGAAGATATTAGCAGACACACGTGATGAAAACTTGGTTCCAACTTTCATGAATCAGAAAAGAGAACTCGGATTTTAAAACAATAATAGCATGTAAATGAAAGGCAGCTCCAAATGGAGATTCTATAAAATTTGGGACATGTGGTCCTCCAGTCCTTATGAAAGAGACAGGAGCACAGACCATATCTTGTACGGAAGTCAGGTGAGCTTGACAGTCCTATAAAATTATCAATCCTACTGGTATCCAGGACTTTCTCGTACAAGGGAATGGACAGGTAGAGGGCGCAGGCAGAGAGAACCACTAAACTAGTGGCAGAAGCAATAATGGACATTTATTCAGTGCTTAACCCCAGGATCGAAGATAAGAATTTTACATGGATTATGTCATTTAATCCCTACACACAACATTCTGAGGTGGCAGCCTAAGACACCAGGGAATTATCTTAACTCAGTCTCAATAACAGGATGAGCCCTTCATAACAAACAGGTAAAGTGACATTCTCCCCCCATCTCTCTTGATAAATCTGAATTCATTGAATCATAGGGATGAAAGGAAAGGGTCAGAATCCGATGACCTCGTGCACATGTGTATATATTATGATTTGTAAGACAGCAAAAAGTTTAAATATTAGTGTAAGTTTCTTAATTTCTAGATGGAGAAATCTGAGGCTCAGAGATTAAAGGAATTTACTAAAATCATGGTTGTCAGAGAAGCTCCCTCCCCAGGCTGCTGACATTCTCCACGCGTCACGGCCTGACAGTGCAGAGAAGCAAGCTATGTGTTAGGAGTCCGCTTTCTAACCACCCTATCCGTGAACATGATCAACTCCACACAAAGAAATGCTGGAATCTGTATCAATGGGTTAGGTTTACATGATTGAATACTTGGTTTTGATCTTTTTTTTTTTTTTTTTTTTTTTTGAGACAGCATCTCACTTCGTCAGCCTGGCTACCCAATAACTCACAGCAACCTCAAACTCTCTCCCAAGTAGCTGGGACTACAAGAACTCGCCATAATACCCACCTAGTTTTTCTATTTTTAATAGAGATGAGGTTCCACTCTGGCTCAGGCTGGTTTTGAACTCCTGAGCAAAAGCAATCCACCTGCCTCAGCCTCCCAAAGAGCTAGGATTTAGGCGTGAGCCACCAATCCCAGTTTACACGACTAAATATTAACCTCCAAGCTGCTCACAGCACTGCAACAAGTTTCTTTTCAAATTCTCCTCAACACCCATAACTCAGAAAGACCCATAGGATACACTTCCACATTCTCAGAACAATCTAGATTTGAATGATGTAAAAGAGACACACAGCACAAATTAATACAAGCCAACTCTCTGCCCCAATGCTGAAGCGGTTGCCTTTTTTTAAACAATGAACTAATTCATTCATATTTAATGCTTGACATCTGATAGTAAAGATGCTAAAAAGGACGTTGAGCATAAGGAAAGAAGAAAACACGGGAATCCAAGATGGTAGGGAGGAGAATGGAGAGAGAAGGAGAAAGAAGAGTCTGTGGGGCCTGGACGGTCATCCAGAGAAGACGCGGAGGAAGCCGAGTGATGGGGTCAGAGCTCCGTCAGGCCACTGCAAACTGACCTCACGGCTTCCGAATTTCATTCCATCAGCAGGTTTGGTAACAGGATGAGCCCTTCCTGACAGGTAGGTCAGATTCCCTTCTGCCTCTCTTCAAAGCCTGCCACCAATCTCTACATCATACGCCTCTCAATGACATCCTGTTTCTGGGAACCACCCCTTATATCTTTACACTCCATTACAGCAAGACCAAGTTATAAATACTCTGGAGGTCGGAAGGATGCCCTTCTGTTTCATTAGTATCTCACCAAATTACTCAGAGCACGTTCTACCTCCAGTCATCCAGTTAACCTGTAAATGACACCACAGAATGACCAAGACCGTGGTTTCTCAGAAGCATCACTGCTCAATCTGCAGCTGGTTTGTAGCTATAGAGCTGCACAGCTCTTATTTGGGGGGCGGAGGGGCCTAGAGATGGTAGTTCACTGATATTAAATGCACAGATAAAACAGGTAAATTATTAATTTAACCATTAATATTAAATTAATATTTAAATTCCTTCAATGTCAGACTAAGGAATAAATGTCCAAAATTATTTTTAAATAGCTTTTTCTTATCAAAGCCAACTAAAAAATTAGAGACTTTAGACTGCACAGGGTAATCTATTAATAAGAATAGCAATTATGGGGAAAATAATGATTATTGAAGTTAAATTTATCAATAAAAACATAATTTTTAAGTCTGATTTTTATTTCTTCTTTGCACGTCTTAAGAAACTCCAGATTTGACATTTGATGACATACTAATTCAAAAATGTTATTCATTTGCTTAAGACACCATGCCACAACTTAATAGTTTGAATCTGGGGCAACAACAGCCTCCCAGGTATCCCTTTCTGGCAAAGCCAGGTGAGTCAGCAGAAATAAATGTAAGGATGAGCAGATAACTAACCTTATTCTAACTGAAAATCTTGCCTATTGCTTTATTTTTAAACTGCCACTAACATGTTTAAATGATAATTGCATCTTCTCAATGAGCACAGTTCCTTATTATTGGAATTGGCAGGGGGCCTTGACAGTTGAGTCATCCTTTCATTATGTCTATTTCTTACCCTGGTATACAAATTAAATAGAAATACCAGCCAAATGAAATATAAGAGGAAAATCTGAAGTAGGAACTTTGGAATGAATTAATTTTTGTCAAATCTATAAAATATATAAAGCAACCAATATTGTTAATAATATATTCTAGCTCAGACAGTATTTTCAAAAATACTAACTTTAATTCTAAAGGCCAAAAATGCTTCAAGCCCTCCTATCCAAATATTGTACTTTTGTAGAACAGAACTGACAGCTTTAATATTCCCTAAATTAAAACGAGAATAATTCCAGGTCTAAAGCAACTACAAAAGTGGGCAAAAATATATATTTAACAAGTTTCTTTCATGCTAAAAGACTTCAAAATTGATAACAGTTATTGTACATACACATTATATGTAAAAATATTATTTAAAACATCATGTGATCTAATAATGATAACAATAATAATTCATTCAGACTAACACACCCAATGTGCCACACTGGAATACTGTTCTATCCTTAGTTTCAAAACACTAAATTTATATGATAAAAACGTTACTGCATAAATTTCCTAAATCACCTGATTGAGTCATATTGAATAAATGTGCATCATTCCATTTTTCTAAAATACTTTTTTAAAAAAATCCTATGAAACTTCAAAATTATAAAAATTATTCAATCATGAAACTAGTGCTGTATTAAATACTCAAAAACATCTTCAGCTCTGCTTTCAGGTGTATTTATTTATTACTGTGGGCGCTCCAGGATGTGTAGAGTCTTCATTCACTGAGTCTTTAGGTATTTCTGCAATTCTCCTTCCCTCAGCACAGAGCAACCTGTTCATTTCTAGCAGCCAAAAGCTTCCCTGAAATGCTCAGAAACAAGCTGAGTAGCCTGGAAGAACTGTGTTGACCCTAATACAAAACGTGACGATGACACTCTACTGAAAAGGAATCACAGTTATGTCTATCAGTATAGGACCTAACATTAGAACATAGCTTATTTTTCTTTACAGTTGATTGTTTATTTTGATGTTGATTTGTAAAAGTATGTCCTGAAGGACAATGTGTCCATTGAAATCTAAATTTTCTTTTTTTTTCTTTCTTCCTTTTTTTTTTTTTTTTTTTGGAGAGACAGAGTCTCACTTTATCATCCTCGGTAGAGTGCCTTGGAGTCACAGCTCACAGCAACCTCCAACTCCTGGGCTTAGGTGATTCTCTTGCCTCAGCCTCCCAAGTAGCTGGTGAAACCTAAACATTTTAACATTTATTTCTGGTATCTTTTCATCGATTATTTGTAATTTATAACCCAAAAAGGATTCAGAGCAATGCACAAAAAAAAGCCTACTATATTATCTCAAATAATGAGAATGTTCTACAGAAACAAGTGTCTATTTTAATACACAAATCTAATTGTAAGAGAAGTCTCAAGATAGTTAATTTCCAACTTTGGGGAATACGATATTCTGCATATTAAGACAAAAACAGAACATAAATCAGATGTTCCTACCATGTGAAATTTAGAAGAGAATATATAAAAGTGCAGTACCTATGTTTATTTAAAGATAAAGCAGTCAAGCCCCACAATGTTAAAAGGCTGTTTTTCTTCATCGTTTGACTTCGATCAGCCAGAATATTCATGAGTTTTTATTATTAGGTTTTAGTGAGTTCTATCACTTTTGTAATTGCTGTGGGTGGTATTAATAAATGTCTCCTTTTTATATGCTGAAATAAATTATTGGATGAGGCAGACACTATGCAAAATGGCTGGGAATGGGGCCAAATCTCTTTATATACATCCAGGGACCAGTAATCTTCTAAAAGGCACTTTAAGCTCTCTTGCCTAAATAATTACAAGCACAGCCAGCATGTAATTTATTGAAATAATTATCCACTCTTCTAGTTCCCATCACCCATTTCAAGTCCACGACCACTTACCTTGTCTTTATTTTCAGTGCCAGAAGCCTCAGGCTTTGTTCTAATCACGAACGGGGTGGACAGTCGCAGCAGGACCCTTTCAAAGGTGGCGTTGACCTTCGGAGATACGATCTCGAAGCAGTCCTCGAACTTGAGCACTTTGTGAGTGTCGCATCGGAGCTGTTTCCGCAGGCCTTCCCCCAGCTGAAGGACGGACATGTTGGGGTCAAACATCAGGTGGAACGGGAAGGCTCTGCAGAAGGTGCTGATGCTGATTCTGAGGTCCGCGGGGACCTGGGAGGTTCCCCGCACAAGGTTCTTGGTAATGTTCGAATTTTCACATTCTCTGATCAGGAAAGTCAGGCAGCCACAGTTGCCCGGGTTGGCGCCGTCAGAGCGCAGCTTCTCGTCCGCAACCTGCTCCACCTCCACGTCCAGCCGGTAGATCTTCTTCCCTGCAGCCTTGATCATCCCCAGCATGGCCAGCCCGACCACGTGGTGGGGGTGGAAGTAGTGCAGCATGAGCGTGCCTTCACGCAGCTCTCTGCACAGGAAAGAGGGTGACTCCAGCGAGGCCTGCTTCCCAAAGGAAGTTCGGATGTGTTCCAACAAAGCGTCAAAGCCATTAAAAAAGTCCTGCAGCGTGCCGCCCACAGCTCGGAGGACCCGCTCGTTCTCTTCAAAGCAGGTGTTAAAGAACTCCTCGCCAAATCTTTCTTGAATTTCCTCAAACTTCAAACCTAAAGGTAAATAGGAAGCAAAGGTCAGTCAAATAGACGTGGCTGGATTTACAGGCTTTACAGACTGAACAAAACAGCTGTCTAGAGAGGGAAACAAGAGGGGTCCTTCCCGTGGGCCCACAAACTTCCCCCGAGGTTAACTCGGACACCCCACGTCAGAGAAGTTAGAGCTCAGTTCATCTTCTGGATGCTTCTAAGATGTCAGCGAGCATGAAATGTTTCCCTTTGTTTATTTTTAAATAGATTCTATTGTTTAGAGTAGTTTTAGATTAATGGCAAAGTTGTGCAGAAGTCCAGATATTTCCCGTATACCCCGTGCCCCCATACCTGCACTGCCTCCCCCATTAACAACATTCTCCAGAGCGGTACCTTTCTTACAACTGAGGAGCCTACGTTCGGGTTCACTCTGGAGGCTGCACATTGCACAGGTGAGAACCAGTGTAGAACGGCAAGTCTCCACTGGTGTACGGCACAGAGCGTCTCAGGGATCTGAAAGTCCTCTGCCGTCCCTGTACAGCCCTTCCTCTGCCCTAACTCCCACAGCAACAGCTTCTTGAATGCTGCTAATCTGACCGTTCACTTGTCAATACTGCATTTCGCGTGCTGCAGGTATCACAGACAATATACTTCTTTTTCTGAAGATTTCCTTTCTTTGTCTTAAGAGTTCCCCAGTCTTCATAGAATGTCCAACTAGTCGCTGTATCTTTTCCATATATTATCCGTATTATCATCTCACTTCTTATTAAACTGTATGTACTAAATAGAAAATACCAACAGGTGAGGGTCTCTACAGCCCCGAATGAGCAGAGGCCAGAGTTATCTAGCAGAAACATGGGGCTAAGTTAGCAATCTCGCAGAAGGTATGCGGGTCGGCTAGATCTCAGGAAAAGGGGACAAAGCGAGACATTAATAATGGCAGACTACGGAATGATTCACACTCTTTCACCCACAGAAATGAGGGTGCCAAGAGTGGAGCAGGAAG